TTATTTCTGTTTCTGTACATTAAACCTGCTGTACCAGGGGGGTGGGCAGTGACCATGCACGTTGAGACAGGCATAAAAATCCAGAGAAGTAATGTCTTTATTAAAACTCTTCAGGTTTGTTGTTGGCATTGTCTGCACTGCCTCAGGCAACTAGGAGGTAAAGATCATTGGTTTGCATTTTATACACTATTTTCTTGCCAATCAGGGTTATAAGTGAGAGCACTGAATTGAAGACATCTCATATCTGCTTTTCAGGCACAAAATAAAAATTATTTAATTTCATTAGTAAAAATTATTTATAAATAGAGATATTTTAATAATTAATTTAATTATTATTTAATTAGAGTATCTTATGCTTTAATGTTGAGTCGTCCAAACAGATTTTGAGCTCTGAAAGTTATATCTAGGTTAGGAGAAAACAAATGGAGTAAACTTGACAAAATATATGGTATAGAAGCAATTCTTAGGCTGTAAAAAAAATGATTTAATATTGTTTTTTTAGTCTCATTTAATTGTTATCAGCGATGACTACTGTCATGAGTTATTTGGCCAGACTGCTTGCTCTTTCCCATTGCAGTCTGGTTTTATTCTGTCCATCTGAAAGCCATAAAATTAATTCTGGCCACCCACATGTGAAACTCAGTATTGCAAAGCAGTAGCTTTAAAGCTGCATACTCTAAATCTCTAAATCCTAGACATGGTCTTCATGTAGGTCCTGAACTTTGATCATCACAGGTAATAAGATTGTATTTTCTGATATGGCTTTGCGTGCACAAGTAATTTCTCCCATTTTGTGCATGATATAAAATATTTTCTCTGCTTTTCAAAATAGATTCTGTTATAAACCAGGAACTAAAGAAATCTACATATGTAGACAGGAGCTTTCTTTTAATCTGCTGGAATTATAAGAGTGACACAGTTAAATATATGCTTGAGGATTCTGAAGGAATAGAAATTTAAAAAAAAAAATTAAAAAGGAAAGGGTGACTTTATCTTAAAATGGCTTAATATTTTAAAACAGTCTGGGCTTTAGGAGCTCTGTAATCTTGTTTACTATTTATTTATTGGTAACACTGTTTCATGCCTGTGAAATATGGGGACATACTGCCCGTTGGTAGGAGCTGTCATCATTCCACTGAAGTGAATGGAACCAGATGAGGATTTGCTAAATGTTTGTTTTCTGTAAGGTCTAAGGTCTATCTTTCCTCAGCATAGCACTGAAAAATGTTTGCTTTCCCTCCTATTTAAGAGTATTGCCAGCATTTTTTTCTCCATTGAAATCTGCATGTGTGACAGGATTAAAGTGTCTATCTAGGTGAGGTTAGTGATCCTTAATACACAGTGATTCCTTTTTTTTTTGTCCCTCTGAGATCAGCCCCTCTTTATATATGCAAATAGGGGGTTATTTCTGCACTTTTGACACTGTCTGGTTTTATCTTCTTGGACCATTTGGTGTCTACCAGTTTAGAGAAAATATTGTCCTCATGCACTAATCGGTCTTTTTGAGCATCACATGGATGGAACAGCTTTTTTAAATTGTGCTCCATAATGTTTCTCACTGTCTGGTTTTATCTTCTTGGACCATTTGGTGTCTACCAGTTTATAGGAGTTATTGTCCTCATGCACTAATCGGTCTTTTTGAGCATCACATGGATGGAACAGCTTTTTTAAATTGTGCTCCATAATGTTTCTCTAAGTTCCCCTTTTTCCATCTCCTGAGAGGATGTCTGAATTCTGACCATTTATTACTTTACTGGTAGTGTCAACAGGACAAAAGAAACTTTCTTTTTCTCTGATGAATTTGCAGTCTAGGCAATGTAGAAATGTGCTAAAGGACATAGGCTACAGAAGGTGTGACTACAGAAGTCCAACCAGTAGCTATCCATACTATAACTGTTGTTGGCTTTTAAAAACGTTTCTTGGGGAAATATTTTGTCCCGTAGTTACTTTTTTTCCAAGTTTACCCTCCTTAATAACATGTGTCTTCAACCTAGTGTATTGAAAATCTATTTAGTGAAAGAATGAGAGAGGCCCTGTAAGCATAACGTTTCCTTTTACCCTCCCTTTTTTTTCCTCCTAGATACCAAGCTCATATTCAGCTTGTCAGAACAAAGGTATTGCAGATTTGATACTCTCTTGCTTCTTGCATCTCCTGAGGCATATAAATCCTTTCAGCTCTATCACCTCCGTGATATTTCCGACATGCAACACTCTTGATCAATCCACTGTGAAGATTCGTGGGGCTGCCTTCATTTCCTCCTGTTTGGACTGATGTAATTCACAGCTCTCAGGCACTAAACTGCTGTAGTACTGTGCTAGTATCAATACTATGGAGTATGCTGTCCTAACCTCATGTGTTTTGGACAGTGACTACCATATGCTTTAATTTCTAAAGTCTGTGATATCTTGGTCTCTTAACTGTATCAGAAAACTTGAATTTGTTAACATGTTTTCACTGGATTCCTCTTTCTAAATCAGCTTACATTGACTTGATGATCTTAAAGGTCTTTTCCAACCTAAATGATTCTATAATAATAGTTCATTGCTCCCCTGACCTCAGGTGTAGTGCCATTCAGCCTCAGTGCTGCTGGAGTACATTTTTCTTCACTTTTAATTCCATATTCTCCCCTCTTCAGATCAAAAGTTCCATGGTGAGTGATTAAAAAAAGGACTATTAAGTGGATAGTAATTGAATGGATATTGAAGGACTTAAACAGAAAGAAAGATCATATTTTTATAAATACAAAAATTGATGCCACTTAGCTCTGCTGCCTGAGAGATGATTAAAGTAATTGAAGTTGATCGCAATTACACCTTCAAAATGATATGGCTTTGAACTGAAGCATTTCAATTTAAATTTGTCATTCATTATGCCTTTGCATGTACTGTTCAAAGTTTGAGGACTGCATAATTTACATGAAAGAAAGCAAGTCACTGAGTGTAATGGGCTAAACTTCTAACAATACCCTCGAATTTCACACCCCTAATTAATCACAGTCACAGTGATACCTCTTCTGAAACAGCAAATCTTGAGCATCCTATGAAGAAGTCCACAGGATGCTTAAAAACAAACCAGAAAAAAAAAGAAATTGAAATAACACTAGCATCTCCTGGGCTATCTTGTAATTTCAAAATTCTGATGGAAGTAACTGGTGTAGAGTAAGTTTTAGCTTTATAATTTGCCTTGTCACTTTACATTATTTCCCTTTCCCCTTTTCTATGCTTTTTAGCCTTCCCAAGCCATGTTTTTGTTCATTTGGTTTTAATTCAGTCCCAGTTCAGCCTTTTAATGCTAAAACAATTCCTCTGTGGGCACAGAAGTGAGCATGTGATGAAGGCACTGGCTGGTCGTTAAGGCTGTGTGTACTAGCAGGAGAAGCAGCCAAAGGCTGTTGTGGGGCCCTAAGGCCAAGTGACCTGGCACAGTTTGTGTCTGAGCAGCTAAATTCATTTACATCCACAAAACAGGATGACCTCATCCAAACAGTGCTCGGAGTAGTCCCTGTCCTGTCCTACTTGTCTTTTTTGATTCAGTGCCAAGACCCGTGCCAGATGTTTATCTGTACGGGCAGTCATGTGCAGACCTCCATTTTCCTGCTGTCTGTGGTTGATGGCTCTGGGTCTCACCTTACCAGCCTGGGTCAGGTGCTGGCAGTGGCTGACACAGGTTTTCTCTGAACTCACACCAGTTCTAACTCTCAGGCTTCACGATAGTGAGATTTCCAAAAGGCTAAGGTCTTTCAGGCATTGTACTTGCACAGGTAGGCTGGTGGAAAAAAAACCCCAGTATTCATCAACTTCAAAGAATAAGCAGAAAACAAAACCAACTGAAGGGGGAGAAATCCTTTAAGTATCTGCAATAATGGCAAATTGCAAAACTAAAAATACTGGCTCTCTTAGTCTACACGTATTTTATGCGTTTTTTTTTTCTTCCAAGGAAATTTAAATTTAAGTGAAAGCTTTCACAATGGAACATGCAAGAGAAGAGCCAAACTCTTCACAGAACATTTTGTTATCAGCAATCCCTAGGCAATAAAATTGAAGGTGCAACATAACTAACTATTTATCAAATATGTATTTTACCAATCCACCACTGGTCCAAAGAGACAGTGTTTCATACTTGAGAATACTGTTGACTTGACTTTTGGTGGCTGGTGAAGCTGTGTCATGGTGCTAACACAGCCAGGCAGTGTTTATTCCTTGGACCAACTGGGGATGGAGGGTAGTGGGAGGTCTCTGACACTCCCCTAACTGCTCAGGGATGTGTCCAACTGGGACTTGAAACTCTTATGGATGGTGACCCCAGCCCCTCTGGGCAGCAACCTTCTCTTAGTGCTGAATCCTCGCAGTGAAAATACTGCCTTCAGTACAGCCAGGACCTCTCCAGCTTCAGCTTGTGACCTCTTTCACAGTCTCCTGCCCTGCTCCTGAGGACAGTGCCTAGTGTTGTATTTCCAGTAACCTCGTCTTGGGCACAGGAGAACAGATATTTAATCCTAGCCAAACCTTGTCTTCTTCAGCCTAAAGAAGCCCAGATCCCTCAGCCTCTCCTCATGCAGGGCTCTTGTATATGATATTGACAGAACATACTGCTATGGTAAGCATTTATTAAAATGTTTGAAAAGGTATATTGATTTCTGTCTTCCCCCAGGTGTGTAAAAAGAAAAATATTAGTGTTAGGAAAAAACCTTCAAATATGGTCTGTATTGGAATTTAAAAATCACCTGATGATTTTAAATTATTGGGTTTTTATACTTCCTAGACTAGTTTCAATGCCTTAACCACACACTGCGTTAAAGAGCATTGACCTCCTACTATTTGTGTAATACCTGTGAGTCCTTTAAAAGCCAGCTGAAGGAAGGTGGTGCAGCATCCTGAAAGTCATACCAGGCTTTCGCGTCTTCTTTGGGGTTCACAGCAGATTTCACGCTGCTTTTTAGATGTACTTCATATAGCTGAGAAGAGCAGATGTTAAGTTTGTCATTCAGCAATGACATGACATGCAAGACTACATTGGCAAGGTAATTGTCTCTCACAGGGACTTGCTGCAGTCTGTGCACCCCTTGCTTTGTGCTGTGCACGCATGTGGTGGTTACATTCAGTTGTGTTGGTAGAGCTCTGGCTCCTTGGAGAGAAGGCTGGAAACCCCTTGTCCTTAATTTGTATGGATCAACGTATCACCAATCCCTCTTCTGAATTAAACCTAAGTTAAGGTCTGGGTAAACTAGAAAATACATTAGGTAAGAATGTCCTGCAGCACTTTTCTGATTTGTGTGATATAGCTTTCTTAAGAGCTACTTCCACTGGTAAAAATAACACAAAGGGAAAGTAACTTAAGGTATGGCCTACTGGGACTCTTACAGTCCTGGGAAGTCTACTTGATTGAGATAATTATTGACAGATAAACAAGTAATGTTGCAAACACATCTAATCGATTGTACATGCTTGTTGCACTAATTACAGTCAGTAGCTGAGTCATTATTTTACAAACTGCAGACCAACAGTTTTGTCAATTAGCTAAGCTGTTAGGTAGCAGAGTGTGTTGGTATTTGTGTGTATGCATATTTGGTTTTACAAGACAAACAGATAACTTTAAAACAAAGTATCAGTGACACTTGAATGAATAATAGTTTCACTGGCTTCATTTTTTTTATCTCTGTTGTTTCCCTGCAGGTCAAGGCAACAGATGCAGATGCTGACCGGTTTGGTGAAATTGAGTATTTTCTTTATGATGGATTTCATTATTATGAAAAATCGAAAGCCTTCCAGATTGACCCACGTACTGGTCAGATCTGTGTGTCTCAAGATATTGACAGAGAAGCTGATCCAACCACTTATGATCTCTTAGTAAAAGCTACAGATGGGGTAAGTTTCACCTTTTCCATGTTACCAGATTTGTGAATGCATTTGTAGATTTGGGTGTGCTGTGTACTTTTAAATGAGAATGCAATGAGTATGTAAAAATTGCATGAATTTGTATAATATTTCTTATCCCTATAGAGGGCAGAAAGTGACACTTCATGAACCATAGATCTTGACCCAAATTGATAAAATTGTCTGAAATCCCCAATTACTCCTAAACAAGTTATTGAAAGCCATTTCTAGGATGTATTACTCTCTGCTGATTTTCCTTCTCCTCTTGGAACCAGTGAGCTCCAGTTTACCTCCTCCTGAGGTGACCTCAAGATGACTGCAGCAGTAGTAAACCAGTAACTTGTGCTGGAGCTGCATGGCTTCTGTGTGTGCCAGTGATTTTCCTGGATAATGTCCTTGTCCTTTATAGCTAGCTGACACTATTGCTGCTGCTGTGGCTGGGTGCAACCTCCTTGCAGCAGTGTGTCTGAAAGTTTTCCCACTTCACAATATGTGGCACGTGAAGAGGATATCCATGGTACAGCGAGGAGCAAGGGCAGGGTAGTTGTACATGACTAATATAGTCCATTTCAGATCTCTGTTTGGCAAGGAAGATGGGAAGGCATTTGCAGTGGGAATATGTTGATATGTCTTGGTGTGGACGCTTTGTCTACCTAGTGTCAGAAAATTTTGGTAGCACAACTCCTAAAAGAGAGTGGAAGAAAACAATTCCTGGGTTCATCTTGTTATGAAAGTATCCAAAGGCAATTTGCAATGAGAGGCCTGGAAGGAGATCAGCTGCTACTGTTCTTAATTTTCTTCAGCTTTAATAGTGGACTGTGAAGAATGAACCTGAAACAAAAGGTTACTAGCTTGCTTGAAGTGTCACAGCGAGCAAAAGGAAACTTTAAAAAATGAAATGTTATCTTTTAAAAATTTTCAGTATACCTGAACTTATATTGAGCCACTCTCCACCTTTACACCAGAATTATAATAGGATATTTTCTCTCTTGGCATTCTGCTGCTGATTTTGATGGATTGAAGACAGGTGTGGGGTTCAAAGAAGAGGTTATGATCAAGAGAAAAATGTGTACAGAAAGGACAGAGGAAGAGTGAAGGGTCACTGTTGACAAAGAAGGGGGAGAGAAAGGAGAAAGAAAGACAATAACAAAGTTAATTAGGAATGAGAAGGAAAAGAAAGTATTTTGCAGGTGGTGCTTGGTTTATTTTACAGCAAAGTATTGATTTCCTCCACCTGCTTGTGCCTTCTCCATTACATGGTTTTGGAACTTGTTGATCATGTCTTTTATGCTTTACGTAGAAAGTGTAATGGGAGAATTGAAACTGCATGCAAGGGCCTGTGGCAAGGCAAGTGGAAAACAGATTCTGTTAAGCTGGTGTTAAATAAACATCCTGTGAGAGCTTGTGGGAGCGTTCCCACTGATGAAGTGGGGACAAGGCTGATCAGAATATTAGTATTAGTCTTCTCAGTTGGCAGCACCAGTCTTAGTCCCAAAGTCAGTTCACATACACATTCAGTACTCCTCCTCAAAATGCTTTTATATGAAAAGAAATAATGTAGCTAGGCTTGCAAAAAGGTGTTTGCACTGAATCCCACAGCATCTACATCTAGCCTCTGCCTGAACCTGTGGCAGACTGAGAGCAACTCCAGTCGTGAGGGTGACCCTCCTGTGATTCACATGCCGGCTCCGCCTGGGACAACCCCTGTTCAGATTACACCCTTAGTCACAACAGCTGTATTTATCCACTTGTGACAGATCAGAAACGGTTTCAGCAGGCATTTGGGGAATCTTTGCATTTGCAGTCAGCTGAAAAAAATCTTGCAATGATGTTAAAACTGTAATTCAATCTTTTTTTCTCTTTCTGGAGAAGAAGTAAGATCAGATGAGGGTATATTGTGTGGGGAACCACAAGCCCTTGAGAGATCTAAATCAGACATGCTGTGAAATCAAAACTTGTAAAAGGAATATATGGAAAACCAGGAATTCTAATAGAAGTATGTGCGTGTTTCCAAAGTGGTGTAGGGGAAAAGATGAGTACTTTTTGTTTGTTTGTTTAAATATATGCAAAATAGGTCAGATAAGCTTTAATTCTCCTGTTTGGTGCTTTTGTTTGCTTTCACAACGTGACTGAAATAGACACTCCACTGTGTGTTCTTCCCTATTTGCTTAGGGGTCTCCAGACTACTACATATGTAAATTTATGCTGCTTTTCATACAGGAAACCTTTTTTTAACAGCAGACATTTTTTGCTGCTGTATGGTGGCAAATTTTATTGCTATGGATCATGCATAGTTCAATCATTTTGTTTATACATTTGCATTTTTTCTGATGCCCATTATCTCTCCTTTTCTCTCAACTAAATAAACAGCAATGACCTGTCACAATCCAGAGAAATTTAACTGAAATAATGCTAATTTAAATTCTGTCTAGTAGCATCTTCACTGTCTGCTTACAAACAACAGCTGTCTGGCCTTCAAAGCCAAAATCTGAGTTGCACCATCTTGGGGTTGGTGCATAATGAAGGGCATTCAGGAGTGTCCAGCCTTGACACTGGGAGGAGCTGGTCCACAGAATTTTCTTCAAAAGCTGGGGAAGACTGGATGACCTGTGCTTGTGAGAGCTGCTACCAGGCATGGATCAGTTCCAGCAGCAAACATCTCTGTAGGTAACAGGACATGTGCCAGTGTACTGGCTCTCTTCATCTGTGTGGCAAGAAGCTTCAAAACCAGCAGAGAACAGGCAGGACGTTCTTCCACTCTGTCCCCTACCAGTGTAAGAGGTATAAGAGCCACATCTGGAAGAGCTACATCTGTATAGCTTACTGAAAGTCCAGAGGTTTTGGGTTGGGTTTTTTTTTGTGTTCTCTTTGCAGAGTGGACTGTTTTGTTTTCTCCAAGTGGGGTTCTTGAGTTCTGTGATAGCACTGCCCTCTAATGATGATCTGAAGGCTGCCGTTGGGTGGTAGTGGGAGGCAATTAAATCTTCTGAGCTTAACACTAATCAATTGGTGATGAAAAGGATCATTATTATATCTTTTATAAGGAATGTTAAGTCCTCAGTTTTTTAGGTGCTACATAATCATTGCAAAAGGTTAAATTTACCATTGGCAGGTGTATTAGTGACTATCCACGCTGCTTATCCAGTTTTCCTTTTTTTACACTGAAGCATTTGAAACTTAGAGATAAGCAGTTGACACTCACAGGCAGAGCTTCTGAAGAAGTTAAGGCTTTTGAAATAACCAACGACGCCTCTCCATTTTGACAGATTAGAACTTCACAGTGACATATCTTTTAGGTTTAACCATAAAAAAAAAAAGAAAAAGAGAGAAAAAGAAAATCTGTCTTCATGTCAGAGTACCTGTATATCTATCAGTTTAATTTGGAACAAAAAATTGACAGCACAGTTCACTGACAGAAATGTTAAGGGTCTGTAATAGAAATCTTGACAGATTAAGTGTTTTATAGCATCAAGAGAAATGATGCTGTTTGAATAGCTTTGCCTCTTTCTACTTATTAATCTAAAGGGTCTCTCCAAAAAAAAAAAAAAATTTTTTTTTTTTTGAGACATGATAAAGAGATGTACTAATAACTTTGTTTTCACACAAATTTGGTCTTGTAAAATAAAAGTATTACATGTGATTGTTTTGACTTTGTAGTATTACGTCCATTTTTTTCCATGGAACATAGAACTCTCTGGAATCTGATAAGCCATTGTGATTGTGACTTTTTGTTGCATCAAATGGCGCAACAGTCGTTAAAAATACTTGAACATGTGAGAAAAGGCATTTCAAAATGAACTGTGACTTTCTGTTGCTCGTAACATGTTTTTACAAATGTAATTTTCTGTCAGCAGCAGACTTGTGTAAATCAGCTTTCATATTTTGTAAGATCTACTATGTTGTGCGTGCTTCTAAGGAGATGAGAATCATCCGTGTGGTTAGAGATAGAAGTAATTTGTTCCTTCTCACTTGGGATGATACTTTTTTAAAAAAAAAAAATCGTAGCCAGAGCAAGAACTGGGCCATAAACAGTTAATGGCTGACACTCGTATGCAGAAAGAAGTTATTCCAGCTTTACTAGACCACCACAGTCAGCTGATGGGCATGTGTTTCTGGAGTAGAAAGCCCTGACTTTTATCTGTGAAAGACTATCATAGAATCATGCAATGGCTTAGGTTGGAAGAGAGCCTAGAGATCATCTAATGCAACCTCCCTGCCATGGGCAGGGATGCTTCTCAACTGGACTAGGTTGCTCAAGGCTTCATCCAGCCTGGCCTTAAACGTCTCCAGGGAGGAGGCGTCCACAACCTCTCCGGGCAACCTATTCCAGAGCTTCATCACCTTTGTACTGACAAACTTCTTCCTGAGATCTAGTCTAAACCTACTCTCCTTCAGTTTAAAATCATTTTCCCTTGTTCTGTCGCTGCATACTCTTGTGACAAGTCCCTCTGCAGCCTTCCTGGAGGTTCCCTTCAGGTATTGGAAGGCAATTATAAGATCCCCCTGGCGTCTTCTCTTCTCCAGGCTGAACAATCCCAGTGCCCTCAGCCTATCCTCATAGCAGAGATGCTCCAACCCCTGGATCAACTTTGTGATCCTCCTCTGGACTTGTTCCAACAGGTCTATGTCCGTTTTATGGTGGGGACCCCAGAACTAGGTGCACTATTCGAGGTGGGGTCTCACAAGAGCAAGAGTAAAGCGGAAGGATGGATCACCTCTCTTGATCTGCTGGCCACGCCCCTCTTGATGCATCCCAGGATCTGGATGGCCTTGTGGGCTGCAGGAGCACACTGCTGGCTCACGCTGAGTACGTGATGTGGAGGTGATTACAGTAACAACAAGTGAGGTTAGACTAGTAAGGATTTGACATGTGGTGCTCATTAGTACTAAGTAAAATAACTTCGTGTTCAGGACTCACCATTGTAAGAAGTTGAACTTCGTCAGCCCAGAGGAGTTCTGAGCATGCTGCTTGCCTAAGTGCAATATTTTGGAGTGTTACAGGCACTGTACATTGCTTTTAACAGACATTTTAATTGCTCAATATTGTTGCAGCTTGTTCAGTTTCCTAATGATGGGCTGAAGCCAGATGGGCCTCATTCTATTGTGTACACTTTTAAAATTGACTTTGCTTTTTGTTTTTATTCTTTTTTGATTCATCCAACAGGGTGGACTGAGTGCCCAAGCTTTTGTTCGCATCGAGATAGAAGATATTAACGATAACCAACCTGTTTTTGAACAAGCCACATATGTGACAAGCATCAGCAGTCACACACAGCCAGGAACAGAGATCCTCAATGTTGTTGCCACCGACAGAGATTCAGGAATATATGGCATTGTCACATACGAACTGGTCCCAGGAGAATTTTCTTCTTTTTTCACAGTGGATACATCCACAGGTAATGTAGGAGTCTATGATTTAGAAAGGCTATAAATATACAATTGTACAACTTAGTTTCTGCTGGAAAATAATCCTAGGGGGAGATGGAGGATTTAGGTTTGACGTGAAACCCTTGCATTCATTGGAATAAACAGTACATGCCAGTACTATACAGGACAACAAGTATACCACTTGCCCACTATTTTCAGCTGTAAATCTATTCATTGTTGTAAAAATAATCAAAACATTATTTTAAAAAATATCTGAATTCTTGAAATGTTTAGGTCTTACTTTTGAGGAGTAATAAAAGACCCTTCAAGATGCTTGTCCTTTCCTTTCATCTCTCTGTTTCTGTCCTAATTTTTTTTCCCCACGTTGTGTTGGAATAAGTCCCCATTCTGCTCACAATCCTACAATATCCAGTCGTGTTTGACCCAGTGGTTAGCTTTGTATGTGTCTTTTTATGTCCTGATGTCATAGTCCTTCAGTGTTCTGGAGAGACTTTCAAGGAAGGCGTGACAACGAGAGCAAGAAAACAAGTACGGCAAAAGCAAATCTATGTGAATTTTTCCAAAAGCAGGTTGAATCTCACAGATTCAATTACTTTTCCCATAAAGCAGCCCTTGTAGTCTGCTTTCTAACCTTAAAATAATTATCAATCTCAGCTGTAAGGAACATAGGCAGTGTATCTACAAATGTCCATGATGTCTTTGAGGGTGTGGTTAGCTAAACTGCAGCTACCATTTTAGCTAGGAGCCAGCCCTGGAGAATGAATGTATCCTGAGCAGTGGTTTTGCTTTGTGATGGTCACAGCACAGGAGATTGTTTCATATGTTTGAAGAACTTTTCAGGCTGTTATATGTGTATACATTAGCTGATGGCATACGAGATCTTGTAAGGCTCTGTTCTTTCAAAATGGTGCCTAGCTTCACTTTCTTACATGGTTCCCAAAATCTTGTGATGAGCAGAAGAAACAATTTTAATCTTAGGAAGTTGATCTGTTTGTCTTGGCTATTTCAGAATGTATTTAACTGTGGACTTTTAACTGCCTGTCCAATCAGATTCTCTGGGGCATAACTGTTGCCAAAAACAGATCAATCAATTAGGGAGCTGCATCACCACAGGCATTTAACAGTCATTTTAAAACTGTCCCAGCAGGCTGATCAGAGCAAGCCCCTGTGGATCACGCTAGCAGCGCTGGCTTTGCAGCAGTCTTTTCTTTTTTGAAAGACTTCTTCCTTGGGTTGTGACCTTTTGGCCTCTTTTTCTAGTTTTGACACATTGTATAGGAAAAATGTCATGCTTAATAATGAAAACCATATACGTTTATAAGTTACTAATATGTTGTGGATCTCTCATGGTGTTTTATCAAAGGCAGACCAAATTCAGGGTGAAGTTGCTCGAGGTCATTATTGCTGACATGTCATGATGAGAAGAGCATTTAGGTCAGAGACAAAATTCCCAATGCTGTAGTGCTTGGAATCTGGTTGCATTTAATCAGGTCTCCTGGGTAATTCACAAGGTCACACTCCGTCTAATTTTAACTTATTAATATTAATGGTGTGTGGTGTTTTTTTTTTTTCTGAAGAATTTACTTTTTCCTTTTATATTCTTCAGTGTCTACCTACAATAATGGTTATGCTCAGTCATTGGCAAGCAGAATGATTTTTAAACTCTTGGTAAAAATAAGCATTATAAACAACACAATCATTTAAGTGGCCAACTGTTCACACATTTTGCAATCTTTGTTCAAAAGATGGGGGGATGAAATAGGTGGCTCACTGTTAGGGCACAGATTTTGAGCTCTTCCTCCTACATTCTTGTTAGGACAAAGGCAATTTCCAGTCTGTTGTGCTAAAGCTGCCTTCATATGGTCTGACACGTCTCAATTTAGAAGTGTCTCTCTGATGGTTATGTAAGAGACTTTATCTAGTTATATGGGCTGCATTTTGTGAACAGATGGCAACAGACAAGTATGACAAGAAACATGAATTCTTCAGGAGGTGGATCCCCAAACCCATAAGCCAGACAAGATGACTTATGAAAATCAGTGCAGTCTTATTGAGTTATGTTCATTGTAGCCCTTAGCATTATATGTGGAAGAGGACAAGTATTTTCAGTATTATGAGATTTAAATTAGTAGATGTTTGTCATGTAAAACTACAACACATTAAAATCATGTGCAAGATGATGCTGTTTACTATAAGAGTATGTAATTTCTATTTTATGACACCTAGGTCATGGATTTGAAAATTTGTCTCATTGTAGTTTTCTTCAGGCGTGTTTTGGAGTGTTGCACTTAAAATGAATCTTTAGTGAGAATGGAGAAAAAAGAATAGTCCAAATGCATAAAATAATAAAATCTGTAACTGAAATTCTTTATGGCTAGGTCTTGCTTCTGTCTGTTGCTTTGTTAAAGCAATTGTGTGTTTTGAGAAAGCCTTTAGCTTTGCATAGTGAACTGTGTTCACAAGACAGGGTACCATACCAGCTGGTCACCCACTGACTGTATAGAGCCATGTCAATGGTGTTTTTGAAACACAGATACTATGAGGCTGAGCCACATCCAAGCTCCTTGAAGGGGCTCCATCGTTTGTTTCAAGCACTGTGACATGTGGGTGTCATATATAAATTCAGTGTGAAGGAAGATACCTTCAATGAGCAGATAGATGTTCCATTAAAAAGTTCTTTTAATTCTAAACAAATCTTTATTATTGATATTTGTTTGCTATTTTAGCTTTCAGATACTGCATTTATTGTTTGTGATATGCTCTTATACTTGTAAATAACATTTTTGTTTCTCTTTGAGAAAAAATTTAAGTATTTTTCATTTGATTGATGGTAGACTATCCACAAGAAAAACCACTTTAAGAACTATGTAACTAGAAAAATGTATGGATATGGAACTATAAACCAGTTCCTTTGCTAGTTCGTGACTCTTGCTATTGTTTGTTCCTAGTGTTGGTGTAAACAACATCTTGGCTTCATTATGTTTCCTTTTGTAGATATCTGATCCATGCATGATCTATGAACAGCACTCATGAACTGTTTAGAACAGAGCAAGTGAAGAGCTCTGCTGGCTAAGGAACTGAGCTATGTTTGTTGATTTTCCCATTGTTACCTAACAAGCTATCTGGACAGTGTATTTATAGCTATGGCTGAGCAGGTAATTAAAAATGTAAGTCACAGGGTACAATCATAAGTGTGGCAGAAAACCTATACAGTGCTTAACTTCAAGACTTTGGAATTAACAATTTCATTTATAAACTTTCATTATGTTACAAGCATTAATATTTTCTTTAACCCAAGGGCATATAACTCTTTTTTCTATTGATCTTAGTGATACCCTTCTTGAGAGCTGGATAAGAAGATTTTACTGTAGCCCTGGTCCAACCGGTCCAACTAAGCTGTTTCAAATCAACAGAATTAATAATGGTCTTTGAAAATTACTTTAGTACAGCGTGACTTCATGTGTCAGTTTTCAGGTAAATGGTCTGTTCATATTCTTTGAACAGATCCCTTAGCTAGTCACTGTGTGCAGAGAAAACTCCCATGAAAATAAAATGCAGCAGCTGTTGGTTTATGTTCATTTGAAGGTATTAGTGATATAAATCTAGCATGAAAAGGATGCAGAGAAAGTGGCATTTGCACAGTGTGCATTACAGCAGTATAAGCGTTTAATTTAGATCGTTTCTTTTGACTATATAAGATATTTAGGCTTGTGTTTCTGAGAGTCCTACCTAAATCAGATGCCTAAACGAGAGGCTATGACCTTCCTCCTTTGTATGTTACTGAGAACGTTTCGGGGTGTGTGAGGTGTTGAGTGGCTGGACACCAGGTGCCAATCAAAGCTGCTCTTTCACTCCTCCTCAACAAGGGGGTGAAAATACAATGAAAGGTTTGTAGGTCAAGTTAAGGGCAGGGAGAGATCACTCACCAGTTACTGTCACAGGCAAACAGACATGGCTTGAGGAAAATGAATTTATATTCAATCAAATCAGAGTAATGAGAAATAAAACAAAAACTTAATCCACCTTCCCTACCCCATTCCTCCCAGGCTTAACTCCTGATTTCTCTGCCTCCCCTCCCTGAGCAGCACAGGGGGACAAGGAATGGGGGTTGTGGGTCAGTTCATCACACACTGTCTCTGCTACTCCACACACTCTTGCCCCACTCCAGTGTAGGGTCACTCCCACAGGAGATGGTCCTCCATGAGCTTCTCCAGCACGAGTCCTTCCCATGGACTGTAGTTCATCATGAACTGCTCCAGCATGGGTCTGGGTCCCCTGGGGGGTCACAAGTCCTGACAGCAAACCTGCTCTGGTGTGGGCTCCTCTTCCTGCAGATCCACAGATCTCACCTGAAGCCCGTGTGAATGGGCATCCCATAGGGTCCACCATGAACCTCCATGCATGGCAGGGGGATCTCTGCTCCAGTGCTTGAAGCACTTCCTGCCCCTCCTTCTTCACTGACCTTGGTGTTTGCAGAGTTGTTTCTCTCACATATTCTCAGTCCTCTCCTCTGGCTGCAGTTGCACAGCATGGTTTTTTTCCTTCTTAAATATGTTATCACAAAGGCACCACCACTGTTGCTGGTGGTCATGGCCGTGGCCAGTGGCAGGTCCATCTTGAAGCTGGCTCCATCAAACATGAGGGAAGCTTCAGCTTCCTCACAGAATCCACCAGCATTACTAAAACCTTGTCATGGAAACCCAGTACAGTGAGGAATCGGGTGATCTTTCTATTGACTTGATGTTACTTAGATCAACCTTTTGTCATAATACTATCTGTTACTTATTTATGCCAAAAAATACACACTGAGTACAACAGACAAGCCTTGTTAAAAGTGCTGGTCAGTAGTTTAGCATTAGTATTTTTTCTTTTCAGCACAAAAGTATAGCTTCTGAAAAATGAGCATTGTTTAGAGGAAATTCTGACTTGCTAAAAAAATAATTAATTTTCTTTAAGATTCATTCTGATTTTTTTTTTTTTAACAGAGTAGCACAGAGCATCATGCAGC